TCTTATTGTGACAGCGCGGGCGCCGGGGCCAGGCCGGGCCCGCCGTGTCACCGCTGGCAGCACATTAAAGCCTCCGGCCTCGTACCGCCGCGCAGAGGGCGGCTATGACAGCCCGGGCCGGTGAATCGCCTTCCCAAAATACCGGCCGCGGCCCAGGTGACAACTCCTAGGCTGTAGGTAAGGTGCTTGTTCGGGGTTTTTCCACTTTTCACTTGGAAGCTGGATAGGGAAGTGGCGTGAGGGGCTGCAGCCAGCAGGGAATGCTGAGGTGACACCGTACCTGGAGGGTGTGTCAGAGGGAACGTGGGAGGCAGCAGAGCCAAAAACGTGGGTTTGTTTTTAAACAGGCAAACTGTCTCTGTTATTACCTACTGTTTTCATCTTGTAAGGTGAAATGTCTCTTCGGATTTATTTTTTTCCCTCCCAAATCAAGGTGGAATGATTTGAGGAGGACATGGCTTATCCCTTGCTGTGAGAAGTGACGCTGCGCATCAGAGCTTGGTTAAGTGCAGTGTTCTAGAAAACAAAGTAAACGCTGGTGGCTGTCCACAGCCTGTGGAACAGTGAGTGTACAAATCCGTGCACAGGTAGTGATATAAAAATGGGATGAATGCAAGACTTAATGAGTTTTCTGCACCAGTGAATGAGGACTTAGTGTGAACGTGGTCCAAGAATTTGAGCCAGCTTCAAATTCCAAGAGTATGACAAGGGAAAAGCTAGGGAATTTTTACTATTAGGCTTCTGTTTACTTACAGCTAATTCACAACTAATACTGATGATTACCTTCAAGAAATTAAAGCCTTGAGTCTTTAATATCAGAGCAACTTCCCCAGTTATTTCCCCCCATGGGAATTTATGACCTCTTGGAGCCCTTCTCCAGGCTCTCCAACGAGAGGAATACAATATTCTGGGTATATATAGCAGTGAAACAGCTGATCTCAGTGGGGCAAGATTACAATTTTTTCCAGCACATGTAACTGTGAGGATTTATATTCTCTCTTTTTTTTTTTAAATTTTTTTAAATTTTTTTTTATTAGTGGCTTAATGTTTATTTAGGGGGATTATTTATTTATCCTGGAGCTGAAGCAGTTTGTCCATTTTAAAAAGCTTGCTCTATGAAACTTTCCCAGGTTTTGATATCAAACACCTGCAAAATAAATGCAGGACTCTGAGCAGCTTAGCTTGCCCTACCCCATCTTGCAGCTCATGTCATTCTGGCAATTAGCAGCCTTAATAACAAATCTCAGGAAATCACCTCAAACAGAGACACGCAGTCCTTGGCATTCTAATCCAAAATCTCAGCTGGATATTAGAAGCTCTGAATTCAAAACCCATTAGAGAAGAATTCAGGAGATTTGGTTTCAAAAGTTTAGTTTTAGACTTAAAAGAAAGTTAAACTTTTGTGCTTTCCTACGGTATGAGAAATTTCTTGGCAGAGATAGCTGGTTCTGGGGAATAGTACATTTAGCATTTTGACAGGGCACAAAACAGCAGGATCCAGGGATCTTTAGTTAAGATGATACACGGGAAATTACCTGGCTTAGCAGTAGTATCTGTGTTTATCTGTAGACTTAGGCAGGTGGTTAAACAATTGCTATTTCCTTGAGAATTTACTGAGCTCTGGCATATAAGGCAAGCATGGTGGTTGTTGCACTTGAGCCAGACTGCATAGCTTGTTATCATAACCCAAAATGTTCATACAGTCCTGGGACAGTTCTAACAAATCCTACATAACTTTAAGTTCAGGCTTTAATTTAGTTGAACTTTAACTTCATAGTATTTAGATTGTTAATGACTGCTCAGAACACAGTATTTTTGTGATTCAGCTTGTGACGTACAATTTATTTTATCTGTATTGTCTTCCTTAAGGGAAAATCCACTCCAAGAAAGCCTCTATTCTGCAAGGCAAGGGTTCCATTCTATCCAGGAGCCCAGCCAAGAAAACTTTTGTGGCCTACCACCTAGCTTTTACGAGCCACCTATCCAAAGCCAATTATCACCAACAAAAACCCAGGACAGCCGTGAAACCTCTCCTATGAGTGTCCCTACTCTCCCATCTGTTTTATCTATGTGCCAACCAACCATGTTTAACTACGAACGTCCAAAACACTTTATCCAGTCTAAGAGTGTGTGTCAAGGGCAACAGCAGCCTCCAGGACCTGCAGCCTCTACAGAGTCAAGCAGAGAAATCAAACAGTCCTCCATCCTCATACAGCCTCGTAACCCCAGCGGGCAGAAATTCTCCTCCTCGTCATCGCTGAGCTCTTCAATCACGCTCTCCTCTCCTTCCTGTAGTGCCCCTAAGGAATCCACATATCCCATCACACCTGCATCTGCACAGTCTCCTGCTAGCTCATCATCTGGGCAGAGGCTTCTACCCATGCCTAACCAATCCCCTGCAGCCTTCCTGTGCTCAGTGCTCCCCTCGCAGCCCGACTATAACAGCCCAGCTCCTTCTCCCATGGAACCTCAGTAAGTATCCACTGGCTTCTAACCTGCCCTGCTTCCCTGTGGCCTGGCCTGTCCCCAGCACTGACCATCCCAAACCCAGTGCCCTGGGAAGGCACCAGGCTGGCTGAAGCCAGTGGCACAGCTCCCACGGACTGCTGGTGTTCAAGGCAGAATTTGGCATGAGTTGGGGTTAGGAGGCTGAGTGCTTGCCCTTGTGTGGGAATTAAACTGTACAGCAGGCATGTCACAGGCTGCTGTGTGATTTTTCTAGAGCTGGTTTGAATTGTTTCATTTCATTTGACAGAAATCTCTTAAGGTTATTTAGAACAGAAGACAGGCACCCAGTCAAATTAATTTCTTTCCAAAAACATGGCTAATGAACAAGGAGACAGGGGGAAGGCAGTAATATTCCCCACACATAAACAACTTAGAGAGTCCTAGCAAGTCTCAGCCATATTGTCAGGTTCCACATAATGATGTGGAACTAAACTCACCTACAATACCCCTTTAACTAATCATACATGTAAAAGAAAGGCAGCCCCTTGAAAATTTTACCCCTTCAGACCAAAGACTAAATTCTTTCCTGAATATGTATTATATCATTTTGCCTTTGGGCTGCAATCCAAATATCTTCCAAGGTCAGTGAGATCTCAAAGGGAGTTAGGCCTTGCCTTCTCACCAACTTGTGCTCCTGCCAATATCAGCTGGAGGTCCTGGGGAAAGTCAGGGTAGAATATGCACAAAGTGAGATATTGGAAAGTTGATAGGGGCAGGGGGTCCTGCTGACTTGGATATAAAACCAGGTTTAAGTGTCAGTTTGCATTCAGGAAATCAGAATACTTCTGTTTTCTGAATCACAGCACTGAGGGAAGAGGAAAGGTAAGATGGGGTGGGTTAACTGGGGAGTGTTTCCTGAAGTCCTGCAGGAGTGTGGGGAGCTGGAGTGACTGCTGGGGTTTGTGTTTGTAGTGTGGGGTTGTTTCCATTGCAAAGGGCTTGGGTGCTTCACTATGCTTTTCATATAAGCTGCTCTTACCTGCATCATGCGGTGAGTTGAGGAATTATTTTCCCAATCGCACTACTAGTGGGCAAACAGGGACATGAGATGTATTAATCTGGTAGTTTAAAACTAAAGTTTTAAAGTTATAACTT